GCGTCTTCTTCATTTGAACATCCATATTCATAATGGTGACAACTCAGAAGTCTAAAGATCATTCTCTGATTACATTTGCATTGGTTCCTTCTTGATGTGTAAAGAACACTTTCTAATAAGTGAGCTTTCTCCGAAATAGACCATGCTGGGGCCGGCGCTGTGGCGCAGCAGGTTAATGCCCTGGCCTGCAGTGCTGGCATCCCATATAGGTACTGGTTGGAGTCCCAGCTGCTCCACTTCCAATCCAGCAGTGGAAGATAGCCTAAGTCCTTGGGCCCCTGCACCCACATGGGAGACCTGGAAGAAGCTCCTGGCTTCTGATCAGCACATCACCGGCCACTGCAGCCATTTGGGGAGTGAACCAGCAGATGGAAGACTCTCTCTCTCTCTCTCTCTCCCTCCCCCTGTAATTCTTTCAAATGAATAAAAAAAACTTTTAAAAAAATAGACCATGTGGACACATTCTGGGAGGATTTTGTGCAGATGCTCAGCACTGATTCTTCTCTGAGTCCTCCACAGAGCTCGTGTGTCTCAGATGCCAGCTGATTTCATTTGTGGTCTAGGAGCCTGCATATGAGGGCACTTCTAAAGCCTGAAGGAAAATGAAATGAAAAAATAAGTATATATTGGTGAAAATAATTTTGAAATCTATGGATAGTTTTTTCAAAATACTCATTTTTTTATCTTTTATTTAATGAATATAAATTTCCAAAGTACGACTCATGGGTTACAATGGCTTCCTCCCCATACCGTCCCTCCCACCCACAACCCTCCCCTTTCCCACTCCCTCTCCCCTTCCATTCACATCAAGATTCATTTTCGATTATCTTAATATACAGAAGATCAGCTTAGTATACCTTAAGTAAGGATTTCAACAGTTTGTTCCCACACAGAAACATAAAGTGAAAAATAATAGATGATTCAAAATACTCATTTTTCTTAAACTTTCTTTTTTAAAATTTTATTTATTTGAAAGTCAGAGTTACATGGAGAGAGAAGGAGAGGCAGAGAGAGAGAGAAGTCTTTCATCCGTTGGTTCATTCTTCACTCCCCAATTGGTCACAATGGCCAGACTACACCAATCTGAACCCAGGAACCAGGAGCTTCTTCTGGGCCTCCCATATGGGTGCAGGGGCCCAGGGATTTGGGCCATCTTCCACTGCTTTCCCAGGCCATAGCAGAGAGCTGGATTGGAAGTGGAGGAGCTGGGACTCAAACCGGTGCCCATAAGGGATGCTGGCACTGCAGGCAGCGATTTTACCCGCTATGCCACAGCACCAGCCCCTAAGCTTTCTTTTTTTAAAAAAATTTTTTTTGGCTGGCGCCGTGGCTCAATAGGCTAATCCTCCACCTTGCGGCGCCGGCACACCGGGTTCTAGTCCCGGTTGGGGCGCCGGATTCTGTCCCGGTTGCCCCTCTTCCAGGCCAGCTCTCTGCTATGGCCAGGGAGTGCAGTGGAGGATGGCCCAGGTGCTTGGGCCCTGCACCCCATGGGAGACCAGGAGAAGCACCTGGCTCCTGGCTCCTGCCATCGGATCAGCGCGGTGCGCCGGCTGCAGCGGCGGCCATTGGAGGGTGAACCAACGGCAAAGGAAGACCTTTCTCTCTCTGTCTCTCTCTCTCTCACTGTCCACTCTGCCTGTCAAAAAAAAAAAAAAAATTTTTTTTTATTTATTTGAAAGAGCTATAGAGAGAGGTCGAGACAGAGAGACAGAGTCTTCCATTTGCTGTTCACTCCATGAATGGCCATAATGGCTGGAGCCAAGTCAATCTGAAGCCAGGAGCCATGAGCTTCTTCTGGCTTTCCCATGCAGGTGCAGGGGCCCAAGGACTTGGGCCATCCTCCACTGCTTTCCCAGGTGCATCAGCAGGGAGCTGGATGGAAAGTGGAGCAGCAGGCACTTGAACCGGTATGCATATGCCATACCAACTTCACAGGCAGTGGCTTTACCTGCTACACCACAACTCCAGCCCTTGTTTATTTATTTAAAGGTTTATTTATTTGAAGGGCAGAGTGGCAGAGAGAAAGAGTAAGACAGGGATCTCCTATCTGCTGTTTCACTCCCCAAATGGCCACAAATGGCCTAGGGTAGATGAGGCTGAAGACAGGAGCCTGGAACTCTGTCTGGGTCTCCCACATGGGTAGCAGTGGCCCAAGCACTTGGGTGATCTGCTGCTACTTCCTAGATGCATTAACCTAGGGCTGGATTAGAAGCAGAGCAGCTGGGACTGGCAGCAGTGGCGCAGATGGCGGTTTAGCCCACTGTACCACAACGCTGGCCCCGCCCACTGTACTTCTAGGTTTCAATTCCTTCTAAAATCACAAGAACAATGTGAACTTTTAAGTCAAAGGAAATATTTTAATACAACTTATCAGCACCTTTATCTTTGTGCAAATGCACTTGTAAATTTTATTTTGGGAAGGAAGGGCTTCCCACAAGCAAAAGTGCCCAGGGCCCGTGGCAGGCTTGCTCAGTGAGCTGGGGTCAGCGACTGGGAGCTGTCCTGCTGGAGCCTGTATATTGTTTCAGGCTTGCTTCCCCCTTGATCGTCTGGAGTGTTTATTTAGATTTCCTCCCTACCCTTCCTCATTGTTCTGAAAGCACAGGACGTGACCTGGCTCCATTGCTAGCATGGACCTCTGCGACTTCCAAGACCACAATATAAATATCCAAGCACTCCAAGCCTCGTAGGAAGAGACCAAAGCCCATAATGTCCTCGAGTGACGCAGGTTGTCTTCTTAGGAGCCCGCTGCACTCTCTCGGTGGGGCTGACCTGGGTCCTGTCTCGGGGCTGGGTGCTGGGTGAAGGAGGGCCCAGGCCTCATCAGCAGGCTCTGGACCAAGCAACGGAACGAGGCTGGTGCTGCCACCATGACAGCCACACCCTCTCCGCGGCCCTCAGTGCCTTGGGGACACTGGCACCAGAGGAAGTTTTAAAAATAGCCCAAGTCTGAATTATCCAAGAACAAACAGAAAAGACTTCTGTCCAGAGAGGATTTGCTGATGCAATAGCAGTGGGCTGGTTTAAGTCAGTTTCCATTTAAAGCAGCAGCTGGCCTCCAGGAATCCTACAAGCAATCCTTCGTTCTTTGCGTAACGCATTTGGGCAAAGCTTGGGTGATGTGGGATGTTATTTCATGTACAAGTTGATGGCCCTCATGATCCTTCACATCTGGGCACCCCTTTCAAGTCTCTAATCTCGGCCCTCCTGCCCCCCGCTAGTCCTACCACTCACTCTCTCTGACCCCTCCTCAGCTCCCCTTCCATTCTCCCAAATGAAACCGGAGAGTAACTCCAAGGGAAGCAAACTCTGTGACAAAGCAGGAGAAGGCTGCTGTTGCTTACATAAGACCACGTTCCCGTCCACAGAGGGGTTCCTCCGCACTTCCAGAGGCTTGGGTTCTAGTCTTGTCTCTTGTGACCTTGCTGTGTGACCTGGGACCGCTGGGACTTGAGTTCCTTATTTGTCAAACAAAGAGTACAGGTTCCCCAGCAGGTCTATGGGACACAGAAACAGAAGAGGGTGAGCCAGAGCTGGGTGGGGGGAGGCAGAGGGAGACTGTCTTTGAGGTGAGTCAATTTCTTCTTATCTCAAGGTGTTTTATCCACTTAGAGATGATCTCCGGGGCCTAATTCCGAGTTCTAAGAAAAATGAGAGGGTGGCCATGTTTTATGTGTTCTACCAGAATGCAATATCTTGAAAACATGTATTTTGAATATACATGATAAATTGGACACCTTTCTTTTAAGATTTATTTATTTATTTATTATTTTGAAAGTCAAAGTTAAAGAGAGAGAAAGAAAGAAAAAGGGAGAGAGAGAGAGAGAACCCATCCACTGGTTCCCTAGATGGTTGCAATGGCCAGGGCTGGCCCAGGCTGAAGCCAGAAGCCAAAGCCAAGAGCTTCATCTGTGTCTTCCAGCTGGGTTTCTTGGGCCCAAACACTTGGGCCAACTTCTGCTGCTTTTTCCAGGCCATTAGTAAGAAGCTGGGTTGAAAGTGGTGCAGCCAGACATGAACCAGTGCTCCTATGGGATGCTGGCATCATAGGCAGTGACTTTACCTGCTATGCCTTTCTTACCACTAGGAATCTGAGGTTTAGACCACACTGCCAGTGCTATGTTTGTACACACTACATACACAGTCCAACCATCCACTTTCCCAGGTGGACATCAGATTGCCTCCACGTGCCTACCTCCAGGAATATTGTTGCAATGAACTTCCAGAACCTGCATGATAGGATACAGGAGGGCATTTGCTGGCACAAAGGCATGCAGTGTACTCAGTTTGCCCTAGATTGCTTTCTAGAGCAGTCTAACTGGCCTCAGGGCCTTTGCACTTGCAGTTCTTTGCAGCCTGGAATAATTTTTAATGGATTCTTAAAGGGCTTTCTCTTGTCCATCAGTAAGATCTCAGCTCAAATGCTACTGCCTCAGAGAGGACTTACTAACCACAGAATTATCCCCACAACTCACCCTCCCCAGGTTACTCTGTCATTTTAGGTTGTTACATTGTAGCACTTTTCATGATTTGTAATGATCTGTGACTGCTTACTGTCTGCTCTTCATCAGTGCAGGGGACATGGTCCCATTCACCAGGCAGCTAGCACAGTCCTAGAATATGTCAGCCTCTCAACGAACATTCCTGGATAAATGAATGAAATAACCAAGAAATAGTGCTGTGCTGCCAGTCTGTTCCAAATGCTATGGTTAGAAAAGTGGGTAACAGGCAAGACAGGTAGGGAAGCCTCCAGAGTCAAGCAACCAGTGAATGGAAGATCTCTGTTTCTCTCTTTGCCTTTCCAGCAAACAAATTAATATAATTAAAAGGAGATCTAATGGGAAGCTGGGGGCTCTGGTCACCAGTCTCTTCCTGCACTCTGTTCAATTCCACTGGGTCGCAAGTTTATACCCATCCCTAACTTACCACTTTTCCTGTCTGGCAGCTGCAAACCCCGGGCAGCCCGCAGGGGGCGCTCAGGATACGCCCTCTGGGCAGAGCTAAAACTACATTTCCCAGCTTCCCGCGCGTCGCCGACCTACTTCCGGGAACCGGCGAACAAGATGGCGGCGTCCGTGGAGCACGATTCTCCGTCCGAAGTTTCCGAGGCGGCAGTGGAGGAGGAGGAAACTAAAACGTTTAAAGATCTGGTGAGAGTTGGGGGGTGCCGGCGTCTTCTAATGCTCCTGCTCAGGCAGGGCTCGGTTGCCGTAGATCCCGGCCAGTATCGTACAGAAACATCTCGGGGCCTGCCTCCGGTTTTGCCCAGAATTTCGGAAGCTCGTGTCTCGGACGTGCTCCCCTGGCCTGAGTGTGGGTGGTGGGACAGCTGTCGGACCCTCAGGGGCCCAATTTGTTTCTTTCTCCTCCTCATTGTGGCCATGTTTGTTACCTGTCCGGGAGATTGTACTTTAGCCGGTGTTTCTATGGTGGGAGCTTTGGAGTCAGGTAAACCAATCAGGCTTAAATTCTTACCCAGTCACTTGCTAGAGACAAGTTTGTTGCAGCTCTCCGCCTCGCTTTGCACATCTGTAAATTGGGTCTAATAGTTAAGCACTAACCTCGCAGAGCCTTGGTAATTAGATAAGAAAAACAAGTCTCATTGTTAAAGAGCGAGTTCTGAGGTGCACAATAAATATCTTTTAAATCTGTCATAAAGGCTATACATGTCACCAGCAGGATGCCTCTGACAGGGTCTGTTAAGTGCCAGGACATGAGCTGTGTAGGTGGCTAAGGTCTGTTTTTCTGAATTCTAAGGGTGTGACAGATGTGTTGTGTGAAGCCTGCGACCAGTTGGGATGGACAAAGCCCACCAAGATCCAGATTGAAGCTATTCCTTTGGCCTTACAAGGTATGTTGGCCTGGCATATATATATATATATTATATATTATATATGTATCTATTTTAATTTATTTAACAGGTGGAGTTATAGACAGAGAGAGAGACAGAGAGAAAGGTCTTCCTTTTGTTGGTTCACTCCCCAAATGGCCGCCAAGGCCGGTGCTACTCCGATCTGAAGCCAGAAGCTGGGTGCTTCTTCCTGGTCTCCCATGCGGGTGCAGGGCTCAAGCACTTGGGCCATCCTCCACTGCCTTCCCGGGCCACAGCAGAGAGCTGGACTGGAAGAAGAGCAACCGGGACTAGAACCCAGCACCCATATGGGATGCTGGCACCGCAGGTGGAGGATTAACCAAGTGAGCCATGGCGACGGCCTGGCCTGGCACATATTTAACGTGAAGTTAAACTCAATTAAAAACCACTTTTGACAGCAATTACTTACATGCATAAAGTGAAATAAAGATAGGATCTCCAAAGATAACATGTGTGGATTTACTGGCTTTTGAAAAAGTCAATGATTTCTTGGTTTACTGAGCTTACTTTGTCTTAGTGGCTGAAGAGATTTGTTCTCCAACTCAGGTAGGGCCTGTAAGGAAGCATTGGGTAAAAGTGTATTAGTGAGAACCTTGCTGGGAATTAGGCGTCAGTGGGTGCGCACATACGTGTAGGATCACCTCAGGCATGTATTTGTGTCCAGAGGAGTGGAGGGCCATTGCTGTGAGGCTTCTTTATGAGCTCTGCAGAAGAATGGTTAAACTGCTGGTTGATAGCTACCGGGCGGAAACTAACGAGCTGCACTTTAATAGGAATAGAAGTAAATCTCTGCTCTTGATACTTAAAGTACTAACTTTACAGGATTAGGGTGGGCTGTAAGAGACCAAAGGCGTTCGCCAACTGGAGTGCATGAAGATCCCAGAGAGGGGCGTAATGGGTAAAGTGGCTGCCTGCAGTGCTGGCATCTCATCTGGGTGCCGATTCAAGTCCTGGCTGCTCCACTTCCCATCCAGCTCTCTGCTATGGCCTGGGAAAGCAGTAGAAGATGGCCCAAGTGCTTGGGCCCCTGCACTCACGTGGGAGACCTGGAAGAAGCTCCTGGCTCCTGGCTTTGGCCTGGCCCAGCTCTGGCTGTTGTGGCCATTTGGGTAGTGAACCAGCAGATGGAAGACCTCTCTCTCTCTCTCTCTCTCTGCCTCTGCCTCCTTGTAGCTCTGCCCTTCGAATAAATAAATAAATATTTAAAAAATAAACCCCAGAGAAGTGAATGTAATCTTAGCTACATTGCTATAAGAAGAGTATTATGTTTCTGGAGTCCCCTCTTCCCAAAAATATCTACACATAAAATTTTATGCATAATTTCATAGAGCTCAAGACCCTCCTCACCCCAAATTCCTCTCACATATGTCTAAGATGAACAGCTCCTAGAGTGTAGAGAGACAGTAGTGCTTTGTGTCTGTTAGAACATACCTAGAGTACCATATTTCTTAGATTTGGAGACCACAGTTTCCTGGGACCAGCTGAGGGGCAATGCCTATGATATAGTGTCAAGATTACTCACAAATAGGGATGGGCTTTTGGTATAGCAGTTAAATGGCTTCTTGGGATGCTCCCATCCCTTATTAGAGTTCTTGGGTTCCAATCAGGCTTCTTGCTAATCTGTTCCCTATTCCAGCTTCCTACTAATGTCCATCCTGGGAGGCAGCAAGTGATGGTTCAAGTACTTAAGTCCTTGTCACCTGCTTGGAAGACCTGGATTAAGTTCCTAGCTTTTGGCTGGGGCAGACATTTGGAATGTGAACTAGCAGATGGATGATCTCTCTCTCTCTCTCTTCCTCTCCCCTCCTCTCCCTCCCTCCCTCCCTCCCTCTCTCCCTCTCTTCCTCTCTCTACTTTTCAAATAAAATGAAAAATAAGAAAAGGATAGTCACAAAATAGATAAGCTGAATGCATTTGGCCTGGAGAAGAGATAGATGATAATGACTGGTTTTAATGATGTGAAGAGCTGTCATATGGAGAATGGATCAGGCTTACTCTAATTCCATCTGCTCCTTCCATAAGTAGTTACTAAGTATTTGATGTATTGAGGTGCTAGGTGGTAAGAGTCTGTCCTCTGCAAGACTACAGTCTGATAATGTAATTATAAATTTGTGACAGGGTGAATAGGGACATAAGAAATTATATTCCAGGTACACACAGAGAGTTGTCCATTCTAATTGGAGTAGATTTGAGAAGATTTATTTCATTTGATTTATTTGGCTAGGGAGTTGGGAAGACATTTGAGCTAACTTTGAAGACTTAGAAGGATTTTGGGACTAGTGCTGTGGTGTAGCTGGTAAAGCCACCACCTGTGGTGCTGGTTGGAGTCCTGGCTGCTCCACTTATGATCCAGCTCCCTGCTAATGTGCCTGGGAAAGTGGCTGAGGATGATCCAAGTTCTTGGGCCCCTTCACCCACGTGGGAGACCCAGAAGAACCTCCTGGCTCTTGGCTTTGGACCAGCTCAGCTCTGGCCATTATGCCATTTGAGGAGTGAACCAGCAGAAGAAAGTTCTCTCTTGGGGCTGGTGCCATGGCGTTGTGGGTAAAGCCACTGCCTGCAGTGGTGGCATCCCATATGGATGCTGGTTCAAGTCCTGGCTGCTCCACTTCTGATCCAGTTGTCTGCTATGGCCTGGGGAAGCAGTGGAAGATGGCGCAAGTCCTTGGGCCTCTGCACATGCATGGGAGACCCAGAAGAAGCCCCTGGCTCCTGGCTTTGGATCGGCGCAGCTCCAGCATTTGTGGCCTTCTGGGGAGTGAACCAGCAGATGGAAGACCTGTCTTTGTCTCTCTGTCTCTCTCTCTCTGCTTCTGCCTCTGTGTAACTCTGCCTTTCCAATAAATACATAAATAAATCTTTAAAAAAAAAAGTTCTGTCTTTCTCTCCGTCTTTCTGCCTCTCTCTTTTTTTTTTTTTTTTTTGAAGATTTATTTATTTATTTGAAAGTCAGAGTTACACAGAGAGAGGAGAGGCAGAGAGAGAGAGAGAGGTCTTCCATCTGCTGGTTCACTCCCCAGTTGACCTCAATGGCTGGAGCTGCACTGATCCGAAGCCAGGACCCAGGAGCTTCCTCTGGGTCTCCCACAGGGGTGCAGGGGCCAAGGACTTGGGCCATCTTCTACTGCTTTCCCAGGCCATAGCAGAGAGCTGGATTGGAAGTGGAGCAGCCGGGACTTGACATATGGGATGCCAGCACTTCAACAGCACCGGCCCCAGGACTTTCTTTCTTAAAAAAAATTTTTTTTTAAGGTTTATTTTTATTTGAAAGGCAGAGTTAGAGAGAGAGAGAGACAGAGACAGAAAAATCTTCCATCCACTGGTTCACTTGCCAAATGGCCACAGTGGCCAGGGCTGGGCCAAAGCCAGGAGCCAGGAGCTGCTTCTGGTTTTCCCATGTGGGTGGCAGAGGCTCTAGCACTGGGCTGCTTTCCCAGGCACATTAGCGGGGAGCTGGATCGGAATTGGAGCAGCCGGGAGTTAACTGGCGCCTATGTGGGATGCCTGCTATGCCACAGCACCAGCCCCAGGAGGACTTCTTAGGCCTATGGAACAGCATGAAAAAAAGCCAAGGAAGCTGGAAAGAATGGGCAGGTATGGAGATTTGCAGTTACTTAACACAGAATGGTAAAGGTTTAGTAAGGTGATTGAGCCAGATTGTAAGGGACTTGGAAATTTGCCTTTGTAGTTCTAAGGCACTGGAGCACCTTTGGGAGTTGATTTATTATTATTATTTTAAAATTGGTTTATTTGAAAAAGGGAGAGGCAGAGTGAGAGAGCTCTTCTATCCGCTGATTCACTTCCTCAAATAACTGCAACAACCGGGGCTGGGCCAGGCCAAAGCCAAGAGCCTGGAATTCCATCCAGGTCTCCTATGTGGGTGCAGGGGTCCAAATACGTGGGCCATCTTCTGCTTCTTCCCCAGACACATTAACAGGGCACTGGATTGAGAGCAGAGCAGCTGGGACTTGGACCAGTGCTCCAATATGGGATGCTGGTGTCGGAGGTAGCGGCTTCAACCTGCTGCACTCCCCAAATGGCTATAATGGCTGGAGCTGGGCTGATCCAAGGCCAGGAGCCAGGAGATTCTTCCGGGTCACCCATGGGAGTTCAGGGTCCCAAGGACTTGGACCATCCTCTGCTGCCTTTCCAGGTGCATTAACAGGGAGCTGGATCAGAAGTGGAACAGCCGGGACTTGAACTGGCACCCATATGAGATGCCAGCGCTGTGGGCTGGGGCTTTAACCTGCTGTACCACAGTACAGGCCCCTTGAAATTTTTTTTTTTTTTAAAGATTTGTTTTTATTTATCTGAAAGACAGAGTAACAGAGAGAGGGAGGGAAAGATCTTCCATTTGCTGGTTTATTCTCTAAATTGCTGCAGCAGCTGGGGCTGGACCAGGCTGAAGCCAGGAGCCTGAAACTCCATCCAAGTCTCCCCCTTAGGTGTCAGGGACCATCTGCTGCTGCTTTCCCATGCACATTAGCAGGGAGCTAGATCAAAAGTGGAGCAACAGGGACTGGAACCAGTGCTCATATGGGATGCCGGCATTGCAGGAGGTGGGCTAACCTGTTGTGCCACAGTACTGGTCTCTAGCATCTATCTTAGGATTTCTGTTTCCCATACTAAAGAAATTGTGTGCATATCACCTATATTACCTCTAGTTTCTTTTGAGTTGTCACTTGTTCCTATCTTCACTGACTTGCCTTAGGTCAGGCTCCCATCTCATCTCCCTGAATTAAGTGTGGTATCTTCCTTAAGTTCTTGTTTTCCTTAGTCTTGTTGTTTATGTCCTTTTATTTGTTTATTTTTGAAAAGAAAGTTTTTAAAAAATCATTTAATTTTAAAGAGTAAAAGGAATTTACCTTTGTTTTCATCCTTAGACAGAGGGAAAGAGAGAGGGGGGGAGACAAGGTCCCATCCTTTTGTTCTCTCCCCAAATGCTAAACAGCCAGGGCTGGCCAGGCTGAAGCTAGGGGTCAGGAATTCAGTCCAGGTTGTCCACTCGAATGGCAGGAATACAAGTACTTGAGCCATTGCCTGTGGCCTCCCAGGGGTGCATGTTAGCAGGAAGCTGGAATTGGAAGCAGAGCTGGAAGCTGAACCCAAGAATTCAGATATGGGATGGAGTGTCTTAACTGCGTACCAAAGGCCTGCTCCTAAATCCTTGTAGACTGTGAGGACAGAAGTCCTGTTCAGGTTGCCTCAGAGCGAAGGGCTTTGTTGTCGGATTATCTTGTGGAGAACTGCCTTCTCAGCAGCTGCATGGTCACTGGACAGCATGAGCAGCACCTGAGCAGAGGTGGGGGGCGTCACTCCACAGTGGGGGGCAATCCCGTTGGGCAGGGTTTAGTGCACAGCTGCCTGTGGGCTGCAGCCAGCGTGGAGATTGTGGTCTTGGCTTTGCAGCTAATTTCCCAAGTATTGCTTGAGTAGAGACACTGAACCATGGTGACCTGTTCTTAAGGAGTTTAGCTCTCTGACCTCTCCTTATGCCATCAAGCCAGCAATGTATCTTCCTAAAAAAAGCCACAGTCCTGAAATTCCCTGCTTATCAAAATTCCTTAGCTTGCTTCTGAGTTTCCTTTGTGGTTCATTCTTCCTTTCATCCCTTAACACTTCTGTGCCCTGCTGCAATTCCTCTTCTCACTCTTCTATGCGTGCTCTTTTCTATAAAGCCCTTCCTCTTTCCTCATACAGGAATATCCTCCCTTCCTTTCTTGGCTTCTGGTTTAGCTCACTCATCACCTATTAGCCTTCCCTGACCTTCTGGGCGCAGTAAGTTACTCCTTCCTTTGTGTTTGCACTGTTTTTTTTTTTTTTTTTTTTGACAGGCAGAGTTAGACCGTGAGAGAGAGAGAGAGGCAGAGAGAAAGGTCTTCCTTTTTCTGTTGGTTCACCCCACAAATGGCCACCATGGCCTGCATGCTGCGCTGATCCGAAGCCAGGAGCCAGGTACTTCCTCCTGGTCTCCCATGTGGGTGCAGGGCCCAAGCACTTGGGCCATCCTCCACTGCTTTCCCGGGCCACAGCAGAGAGCTGGACTGGAAGAGGAGCAACTGGGACAGAATCCGGCGCCCCAGCCAGGACTAGAACCCAGAGTGCTGGTGCCACGGGTGGAGGATTAGCCTAGTGAGCTGCTGTGCTGGCCTGCACTGGGTTTTGTAGGTGCCTCTGTCGAAGCCCTGGCCATGTTCTAACACATTTGGGTATTTGTCTCACCAGTGGGTTTGGGGCTTTTCTAGAACAGAGGCCTTGTTTTCTCTGTTACTTAGCTTTCTTTTCTCCTCTTTATCAAACATCCAGTGTCTACTTCGTACCTGGCACTGGGCCATTGCAGAAAATGCAAAGAATGCAGAGAGCATTTCTTTGATGTTAGGTGTTTTCTTTCTCTTGCAGGTCGTGATATCATTGGATTGGCAGAAACTGGCTCTGGAAAGACAGGGGCCTTTGCTTTGCCCATCCTGAATGCCCTGCTGGAGACGCCGCAGCGATTATTCGCCCTGGTTCTCACCCCAACCCGAGAGCTGGCCTTTCAGATCTCAGAGCAGTTTGAAGCCTTGGGGTCCTCTATTGGAGTGCACTGTGGTTAGTGTCCAAGGGGAAAGGGAGCCTAGTGTGTCATTGTGAGTGGAGAATGGGTGTGCAAGGAGACTAGAAGGAAGTTTGTTAACAGAAGTTATTGACCCAGGAACTAATGTCTTGGCTTTGGGAAAAGTATGAATTTTAAGGGGAAAACAAATTTAAGTAGAAATCCAACATTGGATTTAAAAGATGTTCAGAGGACTATGGAAACAATGAAGGATCTCTTTTCTGTGTTCTCTTTTTTATTTCTGTAGCTGTGATTGTAGGGGGAATTGATTCAATGTCCCAATCTCTGGCCCTGGCAAAGAAGCCACATATAGTAATAGGTGAGTAGCTGACTTGGGTACAAGACACTGGCCATCTTGAATTAGAGACAGATCTACCAGTGTTGGCTAGGAAAACTTTGAGAAACAAATTTTTGTAACGTTGGTTGATTTCTTAATTGTTTTTGGTGGTGGGAGGAAGAGATTATCTTATTTTTGTCCTTGCTGGGACATTGGCCTTTCTCTTCAACCTTTCTTGGTAGCAACCCCTGGCAGATTGATTGACCACTTGGAAAATACAAAAGGTTTCAACTTAAGAGCTCTCAAATACTTGGTCATGGATGAAGCAGACAGAATATTGAATATGGATTTTGAGACGGAGGTGAGTTTTCAATTTCTTTCTTCCTTTTAAGGCATCTCTCAAATTCCCTGTTTCAGACTTGTTTTATTGTATACCTGTGTTATGTGAGTACTGCGTCAGTCTCAGTTAATTTCTAGGTTTTTTTTTTTTTAAAGATTTATTTGAAAGAGTTACAGAGAGAGAGACAGAGAAAGAGAGACCTTTCATCTATGGGTTTACTCCCCAGATGGTTACAACAGCCACAGCTGGGCCAGGCTGGAGACAGGAGCTTCCTCTGGATCTCCCATGTGGGTGGCAGGTGCCCAAACACTTGGGCCATCTTCTGTTCCTTTTCCCAGGCCATCAGCAGGGAGCTGGATCAGAAGTTGAGGAACCAGGACTCGAACTGGCTCCCATATGGGATGTCGGCATTGGAGGTGGCAGCTTTACCCACTATGCCACAGTGCTGGTCCTAGTTTCAGTTAATTTTAACATCCCAGCTGCCCATTTTCATTCTTGATGGTCTTCTGTTGTCAGTGTCTCAGCATTCTCTGCAGGGGTGGAGAACATTCAGCCCTTGGCTCACAGAATCCTTTGGTCTGGCCCTGCCAAGGCAACTATAGGCAGGACTCAAAATTCAGTAAATCTATAGCATAGTATTTTTTAAGTTGATAATTTTGTACAGCCCAAGAATGATGTTATAAATATCCAAATGGCCCTTGGCAGACAGAAACTTCCCCACCCGTGCTGTGGAATGTCCTCGGACTTCAGAGATAAGGAATGTCAGAATCAGATTTTCTGTCCCACTTCATTTTAATTTATACCTTTTTATACACCTTGAAATGTTTTTATTTTCTTTGATGACCCACTCATCATACTTATTTAGGTAATTAATACTCATTGATGGGGGCTGGCGCTGTGGCATAGCAGGTAAGGTCACCACCTGCAGTGCCAGCATCCCATATGGGCACCGGTTTGAATCCTGGCTGCTCCACTTCCTGGGAAAGCAGTGGAAGAAGGCCCGAGTCCTTGGGCCCCTGCACCCATGTGGGAGACCCAGAAGAAGCTCCTAGGTCCTGTCTTCAGATCGTCCCAGCTCCGATCATTTCAGCCATCTGGGGAGTGAACCAGCAGATGGAAAACTGCTCTTTCCCTCCCTCACTCCCTCCCTCCCTCTCTCCCTCCCTCCCTCCTTCCCTCTCTCTCTCTCTCTGCCTCTGATCTCTCTGTAACTGTCTTTCAAATAAATAAACAAATCTTTAAAAAAAATACTCATTGATAACCTTTCTCTTAGATTAGCTCTAATCTACTAACTTAAACTGCTCTATTCTTTGAATGGCATTTTTTTATGGCATCTGGTAGAGTACCAAATAGTAAGAATTCAGTAAATTTTTGTTGGATTAAATCGAATGTTTGAGTCTGCAGAGCCCACGGTGATGTGTTTCATGTTGTTCTCTGCCCCTCTCCTAGCCAGAGGATTCGCGGGAGTCCACTGTCAGTGTTATGTTTTTGTGTTTTCCTTTGTACCTTAGGTTGACAAGATCCTCAAAGTGATTCCCCGAGATCGGAAAACTTTCCTCTTCTCTGCTACCATGACCAAGAAGGTGAACTTTTCTGGAGCTTTTGTTTTCTTCTTTATAAGAATTGATATATTGAAAACAATAATAAAAAATAGTGAAAATAAGTAAAAATAAGAATAGAGCATATAGGAATTAGTGTTTTCTTTCTTCAGGTGCAAAAACTTCAGCGAGCAGCTTTGAAGAATCCTGTGAAATGTGCTGTTTCTTCTAAATACCAAACGGTTGAGAAATTGCAACAGTATTATATTTTCATTCCCTCTAAATTCAAGGTGAAGTGTTTACTTTGATCATTCCTGCCTCTCCCTCTGCTTCTCACCAAAGCATCTGAAAATGTGTCAACATTTGATTAGCTGAGAGCTGTGGTTCAGATGGGCGTCTGCTCTGTCTGCCCCGGAGTGCATGTTGTGCTTACATCATCACTGATAAGTCAGACTTGCCCGGAATTTACAGCATGTTAACCCACTGTCATGAAGTCATGATGTAGTGATAGAATTCCTTCTTTACCCCATGCTCGTGGTAGTTTTCCCCTTGTCTGCTTATTTGACTTTTTTTGTAGGAAGGGGAGCCTGGTTTGTGGTGTGACATAGGACTGTTGTTGGTTGCTGAGGGCATATCTTATGTGTGGCTTCAGCCTAGATTGTTGATGCCTAGTTCATGGGGTGGCGGTGCCAGTGAAGACAGGAAAAGCTGGCAGCTGGTGGTCTGGAAGATTGAGAAGCATCTGTAGGCTTGATCTAAGTGTATATGCCAGGTCTCCTACCCTTTCTTAAGATTTGATTACATGTATTTTTTTGGGTTTGTTTGTGACTTAGGACACCTACCTGGTTTATATTCTAAATGAATTGGCTGGAAACTCCTTTATGATATTCTGCAGTACCTGTAACAACACTCAGAGAACAGCTTTGCTACTCCGAAATCTCGGATTCACTGCCATCCCCCTCCATGGACAGATGAGTCAGGTAAGGGTTCTTAGGCATCTTTAGCCATGAACTGGAGTCTAAGTGAGGTAAACCTTGTAACAGCAGTTTTGCACTATAGGAGCACATGACATTGATGCCTGTTCCTGTGCTTATTCTGACTTTATGGTCTTCACAGTATCACTCTGCATGCCTACTTTCTCCTTTCAGGATAGCAAGAGGCCCAGCTTAGATCATCACAGAGTTGTCTGGCTTGCAAACTGCTGAGTAGCCCTCATAGTAGTTGAGATCTCTGGTCTCTGAAGATTTTAATAAGTTGTTTCCTAATTATCTATCATGTTACACAGTCCCTTAGGCTATTTCCTAGCCTAAGTCTTTAATTTTTAAAAGCATTTATTCGTGAGGCAGAGAGACAGAGAGAGATGGAGACAAACAGAGCTCCCATCTGCTGGTTCACTCTTCAGATACCCACAACAGCCCCAGGGGCCAGAGTCAGGGGCTAGGAACTAAATCCAGTTCTCTCACTTGGGCGGCTGGGACCTAGTTACTTGAGCCCTTGCCTGCTCCCCACAGTTTGCCATGGCAGGAAGCTAGAATCAGGAGCTAGTATTGAGCCAGGTACTCCCATCCGGGACATGAGCATTTTTCAATATGGGACATGAGAGTTTGTACTGCTAGGCATAATGTGCAGTATTTCCATTTTGACCTGTGAAACCCCATTCTCTACTTAGGAGGAAACAAACATAAAAATTTTTAACCTTGGTTATTATGTTCAGTGTGTCTAGGTTGTATGTCTTATATCCTAAGACTCTTTAATTTTCCAAGATTAAAATTCTCATTTCTCTTTCATTATCTCAGAGCAAGCGCCTGGGATCCCTTAATAAATTTAAGGCAAAGGCTCGTTCTATTCTTCTAGCAACTGATGTTGCAAGCCGAGGTTTGGACATACCTCATGTAGATGTCGTTGTCAACTTCGACATTCCTACTCATTCCAAGGTGAGTCTTATTTCTGACTTGACTTTCTAGTCCTAGAGTGTGCAATGGTATGTTTTCTGTCTTTCCTTAGTTACAACATAAAACTTTTTTTGTGCTTAGTTAGTTAAGTATCAGAACCAAGAAACCTTTTGATTTCTTCATTCTGTCATGTGTAGAACGTTAATGAATGTGAGTGTAGGTTGCCAGGGCAAATTTTGGATCTCGTAGTCAGAAGTGGCAGAAGCAGCAGGTGCTGACCCATGGCAGGCTCCTTTCCTTCGTGCTTCTTGGTGTATCTCAGGGTTTCTCAGCCTTGACACCAGTAACCTCTTAGGCCAGTGAATTTTTTGTTGTGGGTGTTGTTCTTTGCATTGTGGAATGCTAGCAGAATTTGTGGCCTCTCCTCACTGCATGCATGCAACCCTTCTGGTTGGACACCAGAAATGTTTCTAGGTGTTACCAGATGTCCACTAGGGATGACAGAATTGCCCCTGGTTGAGAACAAGGGTGTCACTTGGCTTTGTATTTTGACTAGGCACAGTGCTGTGTCACGTGATTTTCGCAAATAGCGCTGTAAGTTTGGGTATGTATTTCTGTCACTGTTTTATAGCTGGAAACCAAGGCTGAGAGAGGTTATGTGGTTTGCACATAATTGTGTAGCTGGCAGTTGGTAAAACCTCTAGGTCCAGGGTTTTTCTTTATACCATGTTACCTATAACTGTTTAGATAATGCTTTGTAGATTTGTCTTTCTATAAAAGAAAGGAAAGAAACCTTTGGAACAATTTTATACTTCGAGAAGAATAAAAAAGATGAAATGGATTAGTCTCAAGAGACAGTCCTGGCCATTTTCTCCATGTTTCAACATGAATCTCTTTTCTTTCAAAGGTTTGCAGTGAGACTTTGTGTCTGTCATTTTTTCACTTACAGTTTATATAGCTTGAATTCATAAACTCTTTCTGTTTTAGGATTATATCCATCGAGTAGGCCGAACAGCTAGAGCTGGGCGCTCTGGAAAGGCTATTACCTTTGTCACTCAGTAAGTAAAAATTGGCAGAGCAACGTAGAGCAGGACTTTGAAGCCAGAGTGATGGGCAGGTTCTGCCCTGTGCTTTTCTGATCACCTACACTCCTGCATCTTGGTTTTCCTGTTTGAAAAAATGGAAATAATAACACCTACCAGGGTTTTGGTGAGAACTGGAGAGGATATATGTAAAAGATGTAGTATGGTATTTGACACATTAGAAGCACAGTGGTCCTTGTTTCTTTCAGCTGCTAAAGTCAGCAGTGACCTTCTCCTCATGCTGAAAGGATTAAAATAACTATTTATGATCTTTTTTTAAAAAAGGAGCAAATGTTTAGGTATCCACGGCTCTTCTGTGTGTAGAGAATGCGGCGGGTGATTTTCATATGGATGGTGCACAAAGACTGCCCTTAGCCAGCATTCAGAGGAGGAGTATGCCCCCGATTCCTCAAACAGGGGCTCACACTGCACCCTAGCGCATGAGAACCCTGGGGTTGGGGAATGGACACACATTTGCATTGTCGGACAGCCAAAGCCATACCCGTTTTCCTTCCTCAGGTATGACGTGGAACTCTTCCAGCGCATAGAACACTTAATTGGGAAGAAACTGCCTGTCTTTCCAACGCAGGATGATGAGGTTATGATGCTGACAGAACGAGTGGCTGAAGCCCAAAGATTTGCCCGCATGGTATTCACCCCACTTTCTTTTTCACCAGCTTTCATGTAGATGATATTAACCGAGTGTCAGACATGTGGTTATGTGAATCCTCGTAAGAAACTGACGTGCTTGGTATATTTCATTACAGATTTAAGATGAGCAAATTAAAGCACATAAATGATAGGTAATTTTCCTTAAGTCATCCAACTGAGTGCCTGAATCAAAGCTTGGACTTGAGCTAATTAGAGTGACTACATTCTCAGCTGCTGGGTATGGATCACATGACCCCAAAAACTCCACTCAGAAGACCCAGCTGTGAACCATGAACTTGGACATTTTGCCTAATCTCCCACAGTCCATTCCTGTCCTATAAGTTGGACTTAATTACCTGAATCTCTAAAGGTTTTTATGATCACCAGATAAGCTAATAGAACCTACAGAGCTACTGATAGTGGTGGCAGCGGTAGAGGTGGGGATGAGAAGGTTCTAGAGGCACACCCTGGGGAGTGCTGCCGCTTCCTGAGGTCTCCTCTGAGAGTTGGAGGAACTTCGCTCATGGGTTGCTTTCTGAGCCTTGTTTTTATTTTCTGCCCACGTGGAAGTTTTTGTTTGGTGTTTTTAAAAGTGTTAACTTTGGTAAGCAATGTGCATTGGGGAAAAATTCAGAAAATATAGAAAGTATTAAAGTAGTATGTGAAGGGGTAAACCAGTCCCCGTGGAGAACCATTAATGATATTTGGCTGTTTTTCTTTCTTTAGCCATAATTAGACTTTACCTGATTATAAATGATGAACATTTTTTGTTTCAATATAGATCTATGTGATCATTTTTTAAAGAATTCCCTCATGGATATGTAACATGATTTCATTGATAAATGTTTATGCTTTTTTGTAATTTTTTTCTATTTAGCACTGTGTTGAACATTCTAGTATGTATAACTTCACATACTTAGCTTATTTCCTTAGAATAAATTCCTGGGAGTGTTGAGCTGAGGAATATACACAGTTAAAATGTCACATTGCCTCCTTCCCCAGAAATACAATAGCAGATTATTATTATGTTTTTTTTTTTTAATTTTTTTTATTTTTGACAGGCAGAGTGGACAGTGAGAGAGAGAGACAGAGAGAGAGAAAGGTCTTCCTTTTGCCGTTGGTTCACTCTCCAATGGCCGCCGCGGCCAGCACGCTGTGGCCGGCGCATCGCGCTGATCTGAAGCCAGGAGCCAGGTGCTTCTCCTGGTCTCCCATGGGGTGCAGGGCCCAAGCACTTGGGCCATCCTCCACTGCACTCCCTGGCCACAGCAGAGAGCTGGCCTGGAAGAGGGGCAACCTGGACAGAATCTGGTACCCTGACCAGGACTAGAACCCGGTGTGCCGGCGCCACAAGGTAGAGGATTAGCCTAGTGAGCCACGGCGCCGGCCAGCAGATTATATCATCAAGGATAGTGTATGTGAATTTCCTAACTCCTTGGTCAGTTCTGGGTATTACCATTCTCTTATATCTTTCCCAGTTTGCCATGTGATGATAGTACCTTATGAATTTAATTTTCATGCTGTGATCTCTTGTAAGGTGAGCAGTTTTATGTGTCTGGAGTGGGGTCATAGTCTTCTGCTAATGGCAGGTATCAGGGCTTACTTGTGTTTGCTCCTGTGTTAGCCTCAGTGACAGTCACTCAAATTCAGTCCCCTCCTTTCTGGTTTCTTACAGGAGTTAAGGGAGCACGGAGAAAAGAAGAAGCGTGCGCGAGAGGATGTTGGGGATAATGATGACACAGAGGGTGCCATGGGTGTCAGGAATAAGGTGGCCGGAGGAAAAATGAAGAAACGGAAAGGCCGTTAGTCAGTTCTGCAAAGACTAGCGTTCCACTGCCCATCTGTGAAAGGGGATCGCAGGGGCGAATGAAACCTCCCAGCAGAGTTCCTCAGACTGAAGTCTTCACGATTATGTCCAGAATCTGCTCAGCTCATTCAGTGCTCACTGCCCTCTGTGTTGGAGTTCATTACTGCACAGTAATGTGGGCCTGCTGGTGTCAAGACTGTCGCTGATCTTCAGCCTGGCTTCCCTGCTCCTCCCTGAGGAGGATGTGCCCCAACCACTTCCCAGTGACCCTTTGCCTTTCTCAGCTGCCCGGCCAGGACTGCAAGATGTAAAGGAAAGAAGTTTCTATATTTGTAAATGAGACCTAAGCTCTTAGCTTCCATCATTAGACCTTATGTGAGACAATAAATTTAAGTATTGTTCTTAAAGACTCGAACTCCTTGAAAACCTTGGAGTTAAAGAGCTTTACAGATTTAAGTAAGATTTTCTTGACAGGTGAGAACTTGACAGTGGCGGATACATGTCAAATTCATTGGTGGTTCTTTAAACATTATTTATGACTTTTAAATGCTCATCAAAGCAACAAGATGATAGTTTTGGGAGGGAAATCCTGCTTAAAAGGAGGTTGTGTTTTTTTGGGGGGTTGGAGAACAATCAGTAAGAGTGCCAAGGTCTTTTCTTTTTTAGATTTATTTATTTGAAAGTGTTACAGAGAGAGAGAGAGGTTATCCATCTGCTGGTTCATTCCCTAAGTGGCTGCAACGGCCAGAGCTGAGCCGATCTGAAGCCAGGAACCCAAGCACTTGGGCAGTCCTCTGCTGCTTTCCCAGGCACATTAGCAGGGAGCTGGATGGAAAGTGGAGGAGCTGGGATTTGAACCAGCACCTGTATGAGATGTTGGTGCTGCAGGATGGGGCTTTAACCTGTTGTGCCACAGCACTGGTCCTGTAAGGGTCTTTTTCAAAAAATGTTATTTATTTATTGGAAAGGTAGAGAGATGAGATCTCCTGTCTGCTGGTTCATTCCCTGAATACCCATGGCAGCTGAGCCTGGACCAGACCAAAGCCAGGAGCTGGAACTTGATTGAGTTCTCCTATGTTGAAGGCAGAGATCCAACTACATAAGCTGCCATCTGCTATCTCCCAGATTGTGCAGAAAGCTGGAATTGAGAGCAGAGGTGGGACTTAAAACCAGGCACTCTGATACAGGATGTGGGCATCCCAAGGGGCATCTTAACTACAGCACCAAATGCCTGCCCCACTGTAAGTGTCTTGAGATCCTTAAACAGATTCACTTCCCTGGTTCCCTGTTCCTTGGGTGAAGCAGGTGCTTGGAAAGACTGGGTTCCTATGTAGACCTTCATCCCTAGGTGATGAGGGTTAAAATCAGAAGTCATCAGGGTCATTCTTTTTTTTTTTTTTTTTTTTGACAGGCAGAGTGGACAGTGAGAGAGAGAGACAGAGAGAAAGGTCTTCATTTGCCGTTGGTTCACCCTCCAATGGCCGCCGCGGCCGGCGCACTGCAGCTGGCGCACCGCGCTGATCCAATGGCAGGAGCCAGGTGCTTCTCCTGGTCTCCCGTGGGGTTCAGGGCCCAAGTACTTGGGCCATCCTCCACTGCACTCCCTGGCCACAGCAGAGAGCTGGCCTGGAAGAGGGGCAAGCAGGACAGAATCCAGTGCCCCGACCGGGACTAGAACCCGGTGTGCTGGTGCCGCAAGGCGGAGGATTAGCCTAGTGAGCCGTGGCACCGGCCAAGGTAGGGTCATTCTAAGACCCATTTCATTCACTTGTCATTGGTGCCCACTGGCCAGTTATCGTCTTTCTTTGGCCCCCATCTATTGGGTGATGGAATTCAGGAGGGAGGAAGAAGCTATTGGCCCTGTAGGGACCAGGGGAGGGAGGGGAGGATTGCTGGAAACCAGAAATAACTTTGAGCTTCCCAGTCATGAGCAGTCTTTTGTCCTAGGGCTTCACATGTAGAAAATATCTCATTTTGTTATTGACAACAGTTTTATTATTAGGGTGTATCCACAGAGACAGAACCAAGGTAAAGAGATTCCAAATAGTCACTGTGCTGGATTAATTCTGGGAATGAAGTTTGGCAGAATAGTAACTCTGTGCCTTGGTGTGGAAAGTGGAGTTTTTCTTTTCTTTTTTTTTTAAAGGTTTATTTATTCAAAAGGCAAAATCACAGAGAGAGAGTGAGAACTTCCATCTGCTGGTTCACTCCCCAAATGGCCTCAACGGCCAGAGCTGGGCCAAACTGAAGCTATGAGCCAGGAGCTTCTTCAGGTTTCCCACGTGGTGCAGGGGCTGAGGCACTTGGGCCATGTTCCCAGGCACATCAGCAAGGAGCTGGATCGGAAGTGGATCAGTTGGGACATGAATTGGTGCCCATATGGGATGCCGGCACTGCAGGCAGTGGCCTTTCCTGCTATCACGCAGTACCAGCCCTGAAAAGCGCAGTTTCAAAGATTGTATTGCTTAGGTATCTGGTGAGAAGTGAGATACAAGGTGTAAAATTCTCTGTAGTAGTTCAGAGGTAGACTGTTCATTGCAGGAAGATATTTATTGATTTACATTAGTTAATTATTTATTTATTGGTAGGCAGAGTTAGTGAGAGGGAGAGACAGAAAGGTCTTCCTTCTGTTGGTTCACCCCCCAAATGGCTGCTATGGCCGGCGCTCTGTGCTGATCCGAAGCCAGGAGCCAGGTGCTTCTTCGTGGTCTCCCATGTGGGTACAGGTGCCCAAGCACTTGGGCCATCCTCCACTGCCTTCCCGGGCCACAGCAGAGAGCTGGACTGGAAGAGAAGCAACTGGGACAGAACCGGTGCCCCAACTGGGACCAGAACCCGGGCTACCGGCACCACAGGCAGAGGATTAGCCTAGTGAGCTGCAGCGCTGGCCTATATTAGTTAATTTAGAATGACAGGGAGGAAGAGACAGATCTGCCATCTGCTGGTTCATTCCTCAAATGCCCACAACAGCTGAGACTTGGCCAGGTTGGAACCAGGAAGTCCCATCTGGGTCTCCCATGTAGATGACAGGAACCTGAGTACTTGGGTCATCATCTGTTACCTCCCAGGTACTGGATTAGATTGAGAGGCAGGACTGGATCCCATGGACTACAATATGGGATGTGGGTGTCCTGCTATGATGCTGCCTCTCCCACACCCCACCCTAAATCCAGTTTTTCACTTGAGAGGCAGAGAGAACTCCCATCTGCTGTTTTCTTTCCCCAGATGCTCACAATAACCAGGACTGGGTTGGACCAAAGCCTGGAGCCGGGAACACAATCCATGTCTCCCACATGGGTGGCAGGGACCCAGTTACTTAGTCATCACCGCTGTCTCCCAGGGTCTGCATTAGCGGGAAGCTGAAGGTAGGAGCCAGAATTGGGAATTGAAGCCAAGTACTCTGATACATGTTGCAGATGTGTTAACTAGTGTCTTAGCTGCTAGGCCAAATGCTTGCTCCAGGAAAATCTTTAAAATTTTTTATTTTATTTTTATTTATTTGAAAGGCAGTGGAATAAAACAGAGACACAGAAAGAGATCTTTTCTCTTTCATTTTACTCCCCCAAAAACCTCAACAGCTGGGCCTAGACTGAGGGCAAAGCTGAGAGCTGAGAATTCAATCCATGTCTTCCAGGTAGATGTCAGGAACCCAAATACTTGAGCCATCACCTGCTGCCTCCCAGGGTATACGTTAGCAGGAAGCTGGAATTGGAAGAAGGAGCTGGAACTCAAACTAACTCCAACATGGAGCAGGATTTCCAAGCAATGTCTTAACTGCTGCACCAAACATCCACTCCAGGAAGATCTTTTTAAATGTAGGGGTAGGGTATTTTCAACGACAGTTAAAGGGAGTCTCTGCTGAAGGTATTTGTAATGAATTGAGATCTAGCACATGGCTTATTTTGCTGTGTCAGTACTGTTCATTATGGTGTATTTGAATGAAGGATAGATTAGAGAAGCCAAAATACAGAAAGTGAAAGGAAAGGGGGAAATGGATAAAAGAAAAGGAGGGGCAAATAGTTGGGTGGAGCCACACCTGTGACTAGTTGTTATGAGCTGGGACTACCATTTGGGGCTAATTCTCTATTAACATATTTTCCTGATAGAGATTTTTCCTGGGTGGGTGGGGGGGAGGCTTTGGGTAAGAACTCCTGCCTCTGAGCCAGTGGGTGAGTGCTGTTTCAACTCAGGGAGGACTGAAGCAAGTTGAAATTGAATTGGGGTACCAGTGGGGGAAGGGAACAGATTGGAATTCTCCTGAAAGAGTCTGAACTTTCCACGTGGCAGTGTTCTCTTACCCTGTCTGTGGCCTCCTGAGGTATGTGCACATTTCCAGGCAGGCTAGAAGGTTAAAAGCCACCACTCCACAGCATCACCCTTGCCTCTGTATATAGGGACACTGCTGGGATGGGAAGGTGGGACACGGGGAGAATGTGGATGACATGGCATCAGGCATAGTAAGAGGGCCAGAGCCCAAGTCCCATATAGAAAGCAAAGATGCTCTTGCACAGAATTAAATGCCTGTGATCCGTGAGTAAAGGGCAACAGACCCGTGGGTTTGCCTGTTGCTCAGAGCATGCCCTGTGCACTCTTGTTTGCTGTGGCCGACTTGTCGGATCTTCTACTGAAACCCATATGAGGTGTGATTAATTTCTGAGGGCCGCTGAGTGAAAATACTACCAAGCAAATGGCGTGAAACAACAAAGACTCATCTTCTCAGCGTTCTAGATTCTAGAAATCCAAAATCCAGGTGTGGCAGAGTCATGCACCTTCTGACGCCTAGATAAGAATCCTTCCTAGCCTCTGATGGTTACTGGCGATCATTGGTGTTCCTGTGCTCCACCTTCACGTGGCCTGCTGTCCTGTGTGCCTTCGTGTCTTCACGTGGCTTCCTCATAAGCCTCCTTGTCATGGGATTGAGGGTGTAGCCTAATCCAGTATGATTGCATATTTAATTACCTCCACAAAAGCATTTCCAAATAAGGTCACCCAGAGTCCTGGGTAGACATGAATTTGGGGGGACACTATCAGTGTACTTCAAAGTGTCTGTAGATCCTGCTGCATTCTTTGGGGTCTAGGATCACACTGTGGAATAGAAATGATGGGTAGAATTGGTTGCAAAGAAGGAGGAGAAGACAGCAGATAGGTCTTCAGAAGTGGCCTAGGTAGAAGTATAGAGTTTAAAATGACATTCTCTTAAATGAAGTGTAAACTTCCTTTGCAGTCAAAATACCAGACTCTAGATGTAGAAGCAGGGAAGGAGCCCTCTGACCTTTCTCCTGCTTCCTTGGTGTTACTCTGTGGGCTCCTGAACAACCTCCCTCCACCCAAATTGTGAACAAACACACCTAACTTTTATGACTTAGTAAAGGCCATAGTCATGTTAGGCCAGCCCAGAGTAAATTTC